GCACGAAGTCAGCTAGTAATCGGAACTACTCGAAGCGAAACAGCGAACGGATCACCTGAAGCGAAGCGGAAGAAGCGAATTGAAAACTTTAAAGTGTTGAATACAGTTTTAATTTATACTTCGGTAAAAAGTTTATTTATCCCGATCCGCAGCGCGTAACAATACCTACATATGTTTAATATACATAAATAGATAATAAACACTCAAACAAAGAGCAAACAAACCTGTTCACCACAATATTTGCCGTTCAACATTCAGGGGTGTCAACAACTGCACCACCAAGTCAGTTAAACTTTTACTGGTGGCAGGACCTCTTGTGAGTCCGCGCGGGTAGGTACCACCACCCTGTCTATTTCTACCGTGAAGCAGTAATGCGTTTCGGTTTGAAGGGTGGGGCAGCCGTTGTAACTATACTTGAGACCTTAGAACTTATATCAAATCAAAAAAGTTTTATTCAACATAAATGAAAGTACATACTTGTTGAACGTCAAAAGAACTACCGCCTATATCTCAGGGTGGGTGGCGCATTTACGTTGTAGATGTCTATGGGCTCCAGTAACCACTTAACACCAGGTGGGCTGTGAGCTCGTCGACCCATATAAGCAATAAAAATAAAATAAAAACTTACGATTCTTCCAAATTTTTTACAATAAATGAGTAAGTAAAATTTCATCGCTATTGCACTTCTCATATAAAGTGATTATGTACAGCCATGAACCTCAGCAACGATAATAGCTCAATCAAATCGCGAACTAAAAACAATTGCAATTTCCAACGAAATCGTCAGTATTTATTTGAATATCTCAAAGACGATAATCACGTGGGATACATAACGGAATAGCTTCAAACGGTCGTCGGGTTCCTTTGAAAATCATTGAACGCCCCAGTCGAGCGCTAATTCCGATCCCTTTTGCATTTATGGCGCTCTTGAGCGTTTGTTTTTACTCGAATTATCATAACAATGACGGCAAAACATTTCAGCAAACCGAACTCATTTGTACATCAAAGCGATGTAGATGAGAATAATTTGTTTTTTTTTTTCGAATAAGACAAATATACGTATATTAAATCAATAAGTAAATGTTTGGCGTAGCTGGTACCTATCATAGAACACAAGGTGAAAGATGTCTGAACGATAAAGATATTTTCAAATTAAGTTTGCGTAAATACTAGTTTCGAACAATAACAATTTTTTTATCCCCTACCTATTCGCTGGTAGCCTAGGGGGCTATTCTAGCTACGCTTGGACGAGTAGGCGAGCTCACACGGACTCAACTTAAGAGAATTTGCTAACACTAGCCCTAGCAAGAGCAATGCTTTGCAGAATCTACCACCGGATCGGTATCGCGACCCATTGAGAAGATCCGGCAAGAAACTCACTGGGCTGTATCTTTGGGACAATAACAAAAGTATTGTCGGTCTACACGTGCTTGGTACAACGTCTTCCATTTCTCGTTAACCTTCCAAAATCATATGCTAAGAATCAATTTTTATTCGATTATTAATCGAAACGTAATCGTTTTTCAAAAATTCAACCGCTTTTGTGTTGGCAGCACTAATATCACAGACGGAGAAACTAAAAAGAATGTGTGTTCTTTTAAAGTGCCGTGAAACTAACAGAAACGAACGTTTTTAACGATTGAAATATTGTATTTATATATCTATAATAAATTAAACTTTTGTTAGGAATATAGGAAACGTACTGCGAAAATCGATTTTGCATTAAAATTTATTGATAGCTTTAGAAGTTGCAAACTAATAAGACAAACGCGAATCACGATTTTCGCGTTTACACGCCTTCGAGATCTAACATCCTATTAGTCAATAAGCTGAAATTTGGAAACAACCACCAATAATCCTGATAATCAAAGTTTAGTTATTTACAAGCTACGTGAACAGGGTAAACTACGATTTTGGGAATGATATTATATAAATATGCGACGTTAGTATGTTGTGATAAGCTAAACCTAATGAAGCGTCATTCCTGTATTATATCCGATGTAAGAGATCACGTATTATTCATTTATTAAGCTGCGTAATAGTTAATTCATGCAACGTTACATGCTATGTTTAAATATTTGGGACTTGACATATATTATGTTACAAACATATGAGTCGACTATTATCAAAGCCGGCAATGTGACTTTTGGACATTATTGGTAAATCAGAAAAACGAATTATTGACTTTGTATTCCATTGGCAGTCACAAAACTCTTCTGAACGACATCTTAGATAAATAACAGGTTAAGTATTAACCTTTATTTAATGCAGGTTTTGAACCGTATTCTTTGAAGGAGACGATTATATTCAAATTAATCTGTATTGACATATCAATAACATTTTTTTGTCCAAATGCACAGATTGCCACCTTTGATAATAGACGACTCATATATCCCTAACTTAAATTATTTACGTCATCTTTATTTATTTTTTAATTATTTGAGGGTATCTTCCACTGATCTGCTGAAATGACTCTGTAGACCGACGTTCAGAATGTTATTCGGAACTTGTATATACGCAAATTTATTCATTACTAGCTGACCCGGCAGAATTCGTAGTGCCTAAATCGATAAATAAAAGATCTAAACTTTTGTATAAAATAAACTTAAAGCAAACAAAAGGAATCCGTCCGACGGGGGACACATCAAAGGAAAAACAAAATTGTTATTTTATTTAATTCCGAGCATTTCTCTGGACTTCCTTCCATCAATAATTCAAGACCAAAATTAGCCAAATCGGTGGAGCTGTTCTCGAGTTTTAGCGAGACTAACGAACAGCAATTCATTTTTATATATATAGATTAAACATATTTTACGCGATTCTGATCTTTGACAAATATTTTTTATTCTACGATAGCCATAGCCATTGCTACATTTACAAAATCAGTTAGGCATGGTCAAGTTCATTGTCAGTTGAATTTGTTTAAGCTATGTTCAAGAGCCAAGCTCTTTAGATACAAACTTAAATTGGACACGTGGAAATAGTACAGTTTAAATTTAGACGAATATCGTTCCGAGACTACAGCGGGAGATTAGTTCTCTTTTTAATCTTTATATATATATATTTCTTCTCCGCGTGTGTTTGTCACTGAACTCCTCCTCTGGCTGGACAGATTTTAATGAAATTTTCTGTTTACCTTCAAGTGGATTCGAGAATGGTTTAGATTTACAAATCAGCCCGGCATATGGCGCTGCAGTCGGTATCAAGGTTATTTATCTTTCCTAGAAATAATTGATATGGCAAAATAATGTTTGTCAGGTGAGCTAGTGTTTTTATATTATCCTGTATAGTTTGTACCACGAGGAAATCATCTGTCACAATCATTTGAAGAATTACTCTTCCACATAATTCGCCACCGGAGCAGACTTCATCCCTGCTTAACCTTTAATCTCGTCCATACTGCGTTTGAGATTTTAGAGAAATCCTTCGTGTTAGACGGCGTCTTGCCTATGTTGCTGGCATGACTGATTTCTAAGAGCGATACTTAACCTTTAACCCTTTACTTATTACCGAATTTGTTCAGCGTCCTAAAACCGTGCATCCTAGCGTCGAAAAATAATTGGATAATAGGTACTTTCTGATTCTTCTTTCATGTTATTCAATTAATGAATGATGAAATGTCCATTGATCTCTAGACGAGTGTCCTCGACTTCAAAGTATAAGTAATGAGATTACTCAAGTAGACAATCTGACAAACCCTTATTTTGTCAGTTAAATTGGTACATTTTGTAACACAGATATTTTATTCACAAAACAAAATTCTATAGTGTTTTTGATACTTACCTATACTTAGCAGAATTAAAATTCTGTATAGAACCTTCATTGGGACTCTTTATTTTTTATTGTGCCCATCGGTTAACGAACACACGGTCCGATTGTTGTTAAATGGTCATTTGAACGTATAGATATACCAACGTGAATGCCATAACCTAGGGACCTTAGGTCAAAATATCAAATTCTATTTTGTGACTGTCATCTTATCCATCAAACTAGAATGTTCGGCTGTGTAGTGGGTAGCTATCACAGATCACAAGATAGTTTGATAGATGCCCGAATCTCGCTAAAGACATTTTCTAGATAAGATTGCATATATGTACACATATACGATTCGAACATCGGTCTACCGAGCAATTTGACCAGTTCGGTGGAAGATCTTCCTTCTCTCGTCTCCCCTAAATTTACTTAAACACTGATTTGAATATTAAAATGTTATTGATTGTTTGCCATTGGACTTGTTCTAAAAATAACGTCAAAGGGATTTATTTGTAATGAATGTAATACAACGTTTTAAGTTTATTTACTTGACTTTTAGTTATTAATAATTCGAGTGAGAAGAAAGCCAGTCGAAATCTTTACACAAAACAGCTGTATAGATTATTTGATGGATCAACAGCTAAGCCTAAAGTTGAAGGTATGCGCCATACTCTACCGAAACTTTTGCCATGATAAAGAAGTTTGTAATTGTATGCTCAACATTGAAATATTTAAGGATTCTAATTTATTAATTTCCTTGAAAATCAACTGGGCACGAATCGTAAAAGTTACTTTGACGAACGGATGTTTCTCTGTAAGAGTCTTGTACATTATTTTATTATTGATGTGTATTATTGGTGTACTGATATATGCAAGAATGGAGGAAACATATTAATCCCCTTTGTAACACAAATTCTTTTGGGCTTTGGATAATCAGTATCGTCATACGAATATATTTGTTTCACGTGGATCCATATTGTGTCATGAAAATGATTCGGACTGTAATTCAAATCCCTTCTTGTCGAACAATAAATGCAATGATCCGTTTCGTCCAATCGACTAACTTTAGAAGGAATTTGAGGAATATCTCCAATAGCGTTATTGTGTAACTTTTTAATTTCATATTACTACACAAAATTACAATCTTCTAATTGGAGTTTTATTGCTGTCTATATTTTTTTGGAAACTTTATTACTTACCCATGTTTAAAAATTAGCATATCCTAACAGTGCTTTTTTATTCTACAGAAATCCCATATCTGGAGTTGGACGAGCCCGATGAGGGTTATCATGGGCTGATCAAGGAGAACGAGACCCTGGTCGAAGTGACTCCTCCGATCCGTGCCCGGGGACCGCTCTGTTCCTTCCTGATACTAAACAACATACATCATGGAGAGGCCCCTTTTGAGGTAATGAATTTTAGAGAATTCCTTCACAAACTCAAAGAGTTAATCTTTATAGCTATCAAAATACAAGCGTGTACAAACAATTATACTTATGACGTTTTACTGTAAGACCTACCAATTGTGCTTATAGCCACCAGTAATAAACAAGATCTAAAACCACATAAATTTAAGTAAACGTGAACCGTATGGTACTTAAAATAATACACGATATTACTTAGCCATAGTAATTGCTTTTGATAGAATTAAATGTTCAAGCTGCTAACGGTTCGATAAAGATTCAGACATCTTGCTACACGGTCGAAGTTCTACGAGTCTACAAGAGGCAGATATGGATTCAGATTTTAAAAAAATGAAAAAATTCGGAACTAAACACAACTGATTAAGTTTAAGATAAAGTAGACGACACATTAAAAACCATAGCTAAACATAACAACGTATTTGACGTAATGAAATTTAATCAATAGACAGAATATCTTGAAAAGTTGTTGTTTCTGATTCATACATTGATTGCACAAATACTCTTCTTCTTCTTTGTTAAGTTCATGCAAACTTTTGCATACGCCGTAACTTTTAAAAGGCTTTGTGTGTTTTGTTGGTGGGATTTTATCAACTAATGTCACTGTTGTCTTGGTCCATTGAATTCATATTGTGAATATCTTTGTATAATAAGTTACAAAGGCCATCAAGGTGCTGCAGTCGTGAAGATTCTTTAGATTTTCTTTCCTACACAAAATTTTACTTTCTTATTTGAGGAGGACTTTCTTATTCTCACCAAAAATGCATTTACTGAGTACGTCCCGATCTTCCGAAAAGTTTCAATACGCCATTCCGATATCTGGCAGCAAGGAAAAGCTTCCAAAAGCCAATAACTCGAAACTGCAGCTCTGTATCTTATTTTATTTCTCAGAAACTCGTCTAGTTTCTGCATTTCCAACGACTTTGAACTGATTCAACTATTTGCTTTAATTATTTTCTTCGCTGTGCAGTTTCTCGTACACAAGTTCTAAATGTATTTTTATTTTATTTTAATTGAAGGTTAGTAAAATATATTCTTGGCATGGTATATCTTCTATCTTCTGTAATTACAAAAGTCGACGCGTGTATGTATGTATGCATGCTTGTTACCTAGACTACGAAATTGCTGGCCAGATTTCGGTGAAATTTTTCAGGAAATCTCCAGATTGGTCCAATGAATAATACTGTGTTTGCTAAGTTAGGTTTGGTTTTGGTTTGGTCAGATCTGAGTCACATCAAAATTCGGCCAGCAAAACGGGCAGAGCTCAATTAAGTAAATTATAATATCTATTATTCAATAGTAACGTAAAGATCTTAGTCTATAAATTGAAAGGAATAAACTAAATGAACGCACTTCAATTAACAGCAACTATATACCCTCTTAGTTTGCTAAATCTCTTGAAAACCCTTCCCAGACAGCCAAAATCTTCGGAAATGTCAGTGACGATTTTAATATTACATCAGCTAATAATTGATATAATCGTCTTTCATCTATAGCTCCCGGGAATGTATGGAACTGTATCAGTCTGTTTTCAAGAGGATTATTCCGTTCAAACACGGCCGAAGGAACGTTTGTTTGTTCTACTTTTACTTTACGATCGATCAAGCTACTCTCCCGGATGACAAAGACAAGTAAATGATGACATAGAAAACATTTTAACGGAGCGAAGCGGTTTGTGATTTATTGTGATACAAAATCGAAGCGTTCTGTTACGGATTGTGGGGTCAGATGTCGTACAGTAGGTTGTCTTGGCATCGATTTAGATGATATCAATTCTAATCCTTTTTATTAGCCAAGGTCAGGCGAGCTGACGACGTTTCCTGACGGAATTCTGTCGTTAAGCGGTTTGCGGGAGCAGATAGGACGTGAATACCGCTGCTTTCGTTTTGGTAACATTGTTATGCGATTGTGAATTTTAATGACATCGATACAACGGCTATTATTTCTAAACGTAACGTGTCCACCAGTACTGCCAGTACTAAGATTGGAAGTAGGGAGTTAATAATTAGATAATTATTTAGGAAATTAAGTGACCCCTACTCTCAAACGAGTGTGGTAGCTCATATATCCCAACAACTTTCCGAGTTTAAAACCGCTCCCATTATCGGAGTCACTTTGAAGGTGCCAAATTGGCTTCTACAAGTCCTCGCGTACTGTGTTACTCCCATCTTTAGAATGGGGGGTACGCAAATACCAGCCATTTCCTTTTGAATATTCACACACATTTACCGTAATGAAAAGGATATTGGAAACTTTGGGTGTACAGGGAGACCTTGTCGCTCTCTGGATTTTGCATTACGTTCGATGGGGGGTTAGTTGTCTGTAGAGTTAATTAACGTAAGAGCTTATCTTTATTATTTGGAGCGGAAAATCAGAATGACAACAAATCTAAAAAAAAAAAGACGTGTGGCACTCGGAGACTGCCGCGGTAAAGCTATTGCCTAGCATTTTTTATCAACTTATGCAATTATGAATCGACAATAATAATTTAATATTAAAACAAGAATAAAATATAATTTTCTACTTTACAATTCCGTTTGTCGCCGATAGATGGCGCTTGATGCCAAAGCTGAATCGCCCTATCGTTGTGTTACCCACGAAATTATATCACATATTTTGATAGTACATATGATTGATTTGACAGTACCATACTACACAAGCGCAACGTGTGAATGTGTTGAACGCGAGCTACATAGTAGGCGTAGCGAGGGCTGGAAGGTTTTTTTCGTTACGGAATTTCACGATTCCGCTCTCAAGCCGCGCTCTAGGCCCGCGATAAAATCTATGCAATAGCTTCTTAAAAACAAATCTAAAAAATAAACATAACAAAGATTTGTACCACAAAGTGAAAACGTGTTCCGATTAATAACCTGGCAACTTAATTTCCGCTTAAATGAAATTTCATTAGTTCGAAATGACCCGAAAATATCCCAAAGTAATAGCGTTGATATCAATTTTGCCCGGGATCGCTCCGTAAAACATTTTGTTGTTTCGCTACATTTAATATTCAATAATACTCGGGCCATTTCGAGGTTTTGTTATTGTATAATTATCTTACCTGAATTGTTTATGATAGTTGTTTTAAGCGCAGTTAAAGATAGCATTTGTAGTAGTCATGTCACTGACGGTATACATTCGTTATCAAAACTATTATAAATTGCATTGATTCGACAAAATTGGATACATGGAATTATACCTACAAAAAATCATACCTGTACCTACTATTTTAAATCCATTTATACTTTAGTTTTCAGGTCATAGTTTACTAGAAAAACAGTGAAAGACTTCTATATAAAGCTTTCAATATTTCTAAACTGATTTTAAGTTTTTTTATACTGTCACTGCGAGTCTTAAACATAATTAAAACTGCTTCCAAACTAAAATGTATTCGTAAACTATGAAATCATATCGAGGGGTGAAATGTCATTTGGTTTAAGCGGCACTTTTGCAACTTTACACGAGAGCCAATTAAAGACGAAAATTTGGGAAAAGTATCATAACAAAAAAAAACTTTTCCATGTTCATTCCTTTTTGAATGGAGTAAACTTAATTGAAGTTCAATTAAAAACATCGAATTGTTGGTGCTAGTACTAAATAAAACGCACATTTTATAACAAAGATAAATGTCACGTATTAAGCGGAATATCGCTTTAACCAAACGTCCTTTCAAACCCCGATATAATGACAATAAAAAAAAAGAAAAATTACATGTGTGCAATTCACACGTGGTAGAAGTGAAACCTTCCAAAATTAAAATACAATTATCCTAAACGTCTTAAGTATATGTAAAATTTTGTCATTAGTAAATAATTGTAAGGTAGCGCCCTCTGTGAATTGATATTTTAATTTCACGTATAATCCTAAATTAAAATTCACTACAAGAGCTTTCATACACACGTTAGTATTAAAAAATCTAACAGATGGCGCTGTATTAAATAGTATGTATATTTCTGTCTCATTCTTTGCTGGCTTCATCCTACACATTTTTGTATTTGTGTCTCTTACCTGTCGTTTTTTCCGTTGCATCCGATTTGAAATCACAACACACAAAGCAGTTTTCACTTCCAAAAATTTAAGTAAATAAATAAAATTAGTTTTTATTTTTGGTACTATTTTTATTTTATTCGTTCTAGATAATGGTGATAGACGAAAACGAAGCCCGCCTCCGTGTCCGATACCCGCTGAACTGCGAGAAACGACGAAACTACAAATTCGATATTGCCGCAGTTGGTTGCGACGGCTCCTATTCCAACACGTACGTCCAGAATACTATAAAATCACTTTTTTTTTTTTTTTCCTAATTTAGCTGATAGCCTTGAAAGGCTATTTCAGCGTAACCTTAGCTCAGCGGTCGGGGAACCGGGGTAAATTACCCCAAATGGGTTAAAATGAAATTTTGGGGGGTAAAAATGAAACTTTTGTGAGTAAAAAGTATATATTGAAGTGAAACTTCTTTAGAATCGTTGTGATTTCAAATTCGATGAAACGAAATGAAACGAAACGAAAAAATAATATATTTTATTTCAAAATTATCATGGGGCTATAATATGAAAGATGCTAAAAAGAAGCGATTTCGTTATTTTTTGTTCTTCGCCATGGGGTAATATCAACTTACACAAAAATATTTTGGGGTGATAATTAAAAAAGTTCCCCGACCGCTGCCTTAGCTAGTAGGTGAGCTCACGGGGCTCAAACCGGAGTGATGCTAACACTGACCCCAGCAAGGGCAGTGCTTTGCAGAATCTACCACCGGATCGGAAACGCGACACACTGAGAAAATCCGGCAAGAAACTCAGTGGGCTGTGTCTATAGGTTAATTCACTCGTCGAGCCCTTCGTCGCAAGCGACGGGTTCGACGAGGACGGTGACCGGATAAAATCACACGATTGACTACCCGTAATATTGACTACAGAATATTTGCTCGTCCATTAAAATAATTGATTGCAACCCAATCGGAGCAGATTCGCAAACAAATTCGTGCAGATCGTTAATGGAAGAAACAAATTGATAGTGGTTGTTTGTTTACTCATAATGTAAAATTATTTTGATCCCAAATATCAAAAGATATTTTGTGTTAGGTGATATTTTCGCATCAATTAAGAATATATATTACTGGTGGTAGGACCTCTTGAGAGTCCGCGCGGGTAGGTACCACCACCCTGCCTAGTACTGCCGTGAAGCAGTAATGCGTTTCGGTTTGAAGGGTGGGGCAGCCGTTGTAACTATACTTGAGACCTTAGAACTTATATCTCAAGGTGGGTGGCGCATTTACGTTGTGGATGTCTATGAGCTCCAGTAACCAGTTAACACCAGGTGGGCTGTGAGCTCGTCCACCCACCTAAGCAATAAAATATACCTATACATAATATAAATATATAAAATACACAATAATAATGTCGAGCGGTGAAAGGGTATTGGTTGGTTGAAGCGATATTTCGCTTAATAAGCGACATTTATCATTGTAATTAAAGCTGGGTTTTAATTGGTATTTGTAACAACAATTCGATGTTTTATAATTAAACTTCAATTAAGTTTATTCCATTCGAAGAGCTAAAGAAGTTTATTTGTTTTAATCAGTTTCAAATTTTTAAAATTAATTTTTTTTTTTGCTTAGATTGGTGATTAGATTCACAGCCCATCTGGTGTTAGGTGGTTACTGGAGCCCATAGACATCTACAACGTGAATGCGCCATCCACCTTGAGATATAAGTTCTAAGGTCTCAAGTATAATTACAACGGCTGCCCCACCCTTCAAACCGAAACGCATTACTGCTTCACGGCGGAAACAGGCAGGGTGGTGGTACCTACCCGCGCGGACCACAAGAGGTCCTACCACCAGTAAAAACAAGAGGTCCTACCACCATTAAGTAAATGGATGTAATGTAAAGTGAGTGGGTAAAGTTGTAAAGCCCAGCTTTCCCTGTAAAGTTGCAAAAATATGTATTGCTTAAATCAAATATCCTTTCCTCAAACGATATATAATTGGATATGTTGATAATATTTCTTTATGCAAATCTATATATTTCACTGCGCACAAAAGCGCAATACATCATAATATATTATCGTTTGATGTCTTTAACCAATGATGTTTTGCTAGCTAAATGTAAAAATCTATACTACTCATATAAATCTACCGTGCATTTTACGGATGTTCCGTTATAACTACTGAATCGTACATCCGATTGACTTGAAACTTGGTATCCATGTAGAAAATACATGTACTTAATGGATAGGCTAATGTTTATATGAGTGCTGGACTCCCTACACCAGTTGCGGGGGCATTCATGATGAGAATCTTTGTGGGGGTGAGATATAATAATGTTAATCTTAAATGTCCAGCAAAGCGGACGGGTAAAGCTAGTGTAATTAATAAATGCATACATCTCCAGTGTCCCCGTTCACATAACGGTGACAGACGTGAACGAATACGCTCCAGTCTTCAGTCAATCCGCGTACGTGAAGACCGTCGACGAGGGACGCATTTACGATGAGATCCTTCGCGTCGAAGCCACTGACAAGGATTGCACCCCGCGATATGGTGACGTGTGCAAGTATGAAATTCTCACCGACAGGAGCCAGCCGTTTACTATCAACGTTGAAGGTACGTAAACCAATTTTTTTATTGCTTAGATAGGTGGACGTGCTCACAGACCACCTGGTGTTAAGTGGTTACTGGAGCCCATAGAAATCTACAACGTAAATGCGCTACCCACTTTGAGATATAATAGACTAGTCAACAATTGCCATTTGGATCAGCTTTTTTCAGTAGTCTCCGAAAATCATAAATGAGGTGTCATTCGAATGGCATCTAGATGATTTTTGGAAAAAATGAAGTTCCGCTTGGAAAAATTGTAGTAGTTATTAACAATTAACTAAAAAAAGGGGGTTTAGTTTTTTGCAAATATCTCAAAATGAGTTTTCAAATTTGAAAAAACATTCAAAAAGAGAAGGAAATTTCCTACAAAAATCTCGATTCCCGAAACTGTAAGATCAATATTTATAATTTTCCCAGAGAAATGACAATACGGCCGAAAACGGGTACTCTGGTTTGGACAAGCCACGCCCACTTTAGACAGTTTCCAATCAATACATAAAAATAAAATTGGAATGTCGGTCTCGAAGTCTGGAAATTGCTTTATTATTAACCTAATTTTAATTCTTCTCCCAGGTGTGATCAGGAACACAGAGCCACTTGATTACGAGAAGTCTCACAACCACATTCTATCGGTTGTCGCCTACGATTGCGGCATGATGCAGTCGACGCCTGTTATGGTCACAATCAAAGTTAACAAGCCCTGTAGAGCGGGATGGAAAGGTGAGTCAGCAGCCATCCAACAATCCATAACTTATTGCATATCTACTCCAATGTAGTCCAAAGGTCGACTTATCTGGGACATAATAATATGGTCAACAATTTCCTGCACCTGAGTATTTTCAGAGATATATCATCATCATCATCATTCTTCCCCTGCCCTTCTTTCAGTCATCCGGGGTCGGGGTAACATGTTTTCTCTTTCCATACTCCTCTATCATATAGCATTTCTTCGCTCACTCCCCTCTTAAACATATCGTCTTTCACGCAATCCATCTATTTTTTCTTAGGTCTACCTCTTCCTATAAAGCCTTCCGTTACAGCCCTCTAAGTTTCTCGCCGGGTCTTCTCAGTAGGTTGCGTTTCCGATCCGGTGGTAGATTCTGCGAAGCACTACTCTCGCTAGGGCCAGTGTTAGCAACAGTCCCAGTTTGAGCCCCGTGAGGTCACCTACACGTCAGGGCGAAGCTGAAATAGCCCCTCAAGGCTATCAGCATAGCTAGGAAAAAAATGCCTTCCACATTCATAGTTAAAACTATCTTAATAACCTCATTGTCACTTCGTTTCATTACATGTCCATACCATCTCAAACTTTTCAGAGATATCTCATTCCCATGTAATCCCACCGTGTTTTTATATAATGAACAGAGAATGAATACCGTAGCAATACCCGTAAAAATACCAGTGAAATTATTTAAATATCCTTCGTTAACCGATAAAATATATCGTGAAGATTCCCCGAATTTCGCAAACACAAATACACCTCTATTTCGAATTAGACCTAAAATAAAAAGGGCTTTGCATATTTAAACGGTTTTCTTGCGACCCTCGTCTAACGATTCCCCTTTTCCGGCTTACGTATGGTCGATAAAAATAGCCAGTATTTAGTTAGCCTTTATGGTAAATTGATAAGCTCCTAATGAAATTTCAGGTTGAACGAAGATACCCACATTAAACTAATGGCGGTTTCGTTCGTTTAATATTGCAGTGCGAATGGTTTTGCTTCGTGACTGTATCGTTATTATGTTTCGCATTGTGGGTTAGTTAGTGGGCTAATTTGGTTGAATCTAATAATCGGATCTTCCGCCCTTCAAATCAGAATGCACGACTGGGTCTCACTTAAATATGCAGGACCGTGGTACCATACATAAATTCTAAGACTTTACCTCGAAACTTCCTCGACTCAACTTAACCAAATCGGAATTCTTAATCGGATTCTTTTGTAGCATAAACAAGCGATTCCCAAGCTGTGGTACATTTACGGGAATACGCGGGGTCGTAGGAGTGGTTTGGAGTTATTAGCGGCATCAGGAGTACTAGTAAAAATATCTTGTGTCGGATAACAGCTGTTTCAGCTTTAAGTCACAACGCATTGCTTTGTGGTAGCATCTTCTCTAGTTGGATTTACTCGAAACTTTTCCTCAGCCGAGATGACGAGTGACAGAACATCGGGGGATGTACTTTACGGAACTCGAAAAAATTTAACATCACTTTTTTCAATTTACTTTTAAATATTTCTATCTTTCTAACCTTCTTTGAGTTGAGGAAATATCGACGAGGTAGCATTATAAAAGACTCGTGATGTAGGGGAAGCGTATAAATAAAGTTAGCTTAAAATAAAAATGTCAAATCCATGTCACTCATATGATCTTCATTTTCCTTTTTTTATATTACTTAGATGGGTGGACGAGCTCACAGCCCACCTGGTGTTAAGTGGTTAATGAAGCCAGGTCATGGCCATGGATGGCAGGTCGATGGTACCCGCGCGGACTTACAAGAGGTCCTACCACCAGTAAAAAACAATTACGTTTCAACTAAATATTTGCGATAATTAAAAAAAAAAAATACTCTATTAATGTTTTAGGAGTGGCGGAACGTGTAGATTACGCGCCGGGAACAGGTCCACTGGCCTTATTCCCCGCTGCACGTCTGGAGACCTGTTCTTCAGACGAGCGTTGCCCTGGAGTCACCAGGATCCAAGCTGCGGTCTCCTTGCAGGCCTCGCGCGTCGGCAGCGGCTGCGACAGGGATACTTATTCGCTGCATTCTCAGCGTACCATATGCGGTGAGAGACACGGGAAAAGGAGGCGCCTTACTTACGCCTTAAGCGTCACTTAGATGTAAGTTAGGCTAAGTTAGATTAAGTTAGATTAGGTCTAAACAGTAAAAGAAAGAAAAAAAATGGAGGAGAGAAGCGGCCGCCCCTGTGTAACGAAGAGAAGAAGGAAGACAGAAGACAGAAGAAGAAGAGAAGAGATGAAAAAATAAGAAAGAAGTTGGTCCCACCCTTAAAAAAACAAGCACGCCACTTACACTTCACCCCTGCCTCAATAGACAGGGAGCTTTAGCCCGGGCAGAGGGGTTTCCCCGAGAGGACGCGACGACCCCCCACACTGGGAAAAGGATACCAATAAAATTTTCTTATAAAATGACTGAAACAATGTATGTTTTCGTATAGGACTCGACCCGAAGACAATTGACCTGCTACCAAGTCCTGGAGCCGGTAATGAATGGGCGAAATCATTGAAACCCGACTCAGGTTTGTTTGACACATGTTTATTGTTCCTAAATATTTTATTAAACATACAATATCGCACTTTTAAAATTGAATTGGCTAAATTAAGAATTTTAAGAAAGGGAGTATTAGAGAGTAATATTTTATAAACAGTAGGAATATTTTATAAACATCTATACTAATATATAAATCTACAGTGATTTTTACGATGTTCCGTTATAACTACTGAACCATGCATCCGATTGACTTGAAACTTGGTATCCATGTAGAAAATACATGTACTTAATGGACAGGCTATATTTATATGGGCGTTGGACTCCCTCATAATTAATATTGACAATAAATAATAAAGTTAATTTTAAATGCCCAGCGAAGCGGGGGGCGAGTACGGCTAGTCAGTTTATAAAATTAAACAGTCTCTTTTAGTCTATAAAAGGACAAAAATCATTAAAATCAAGACCATACCTTAAAGTATTAAAATCATTAAAAATATTACAATCTTTCAAATACACTTTTGGTGTTTACCAAAAAACAAGAATTTTGGATTAAGTCACTTGAACTCTAAAAAGCCACTTCAATTCTAAAGCTTCGGTATATTTATGTATATCTACCGACATTATCCACAGTCTGTCATTTAATTTTAGTCTCAAATCAAAATTTACTGAGTATACTAGAGCTGTGGGATTGTAAATTACGACCGCCACCCGATCACTCGTTCGATTTAACGCCGTATTTAACTGAATATGCAATTTCGAAAAGGGCACATGTCGCATATTTTGTCAAATAAGTTTTTTCATATACATGTAGTTTTGAGGCTCACCTACACCCGTTTTATAATAATTCCAGTAATGCTAAATTCGATTGCTAATTAACACTAAAATATATCTCAAAAGTTAATATTTTAAATTTTACACTGCTTTAGAAAATAATCAGTTTTTTTCATTTCCTGAACATTTTACATTTTCAGAGATGTGCCCTTTTCGAAATTGCATATTCAACTGTACTAGCGGTCTCCCGGTAGTCGAAATTAGACTATAATTAATTGAAATTATAAGTTTGAACTTTATTAAGCTTCCATTGCCAAAGACTGTTTTATATTTCTATATAATCACAGATTTCGCCAATACTACCTTTTAGACAAATAATATTAAAGACAAACATTATTAATCTATTCTCAATTTGACCAGACTTTAAACAATAAGAAAACGTTGACATTATATAAAAGAGTATACATACGTGTGTGTGTGTGTGGGTGTGTGTGTGAAATATACGGTAGTGTGTGCAATTTTTATTTTTATCGATTTAGTGTATTTTTAATGAATAATTTTTAAAATATATTACCATTCTACGCTCCTTCTCTATATTCTCTATAAGTGTGGGATATTTCATACTCCTTCGTCCGCCCAATTTTCGTAAAAAGGGGTACAAAGTTTTTGCTTCACGTATTAATATATAGATTGATTCGTCAGGTCGTGACGGCGAGCAGATGTTCGAATTCGACGGCGAAACAACATCGGCCATAGTTCCAGAGTCGGTGTTGCCTCACTCGCTGACCAGCAGCTTCTCAATCTCGACGTGGATGCGTCACGCTCCTCCCGCTGACGGCGACAAGCACAGAAAGGAACACGTTCTGTGCCTTGCCGATGACCACAGTCAGTATACGTTGTAGTTCTAGATCTGTAAGGTGCCGTGGGTAACTGGTGGTAGGACCTCTTGTGAGTCCACGCGGGTTGGTACCACCACCCTGCCTATTTCCGGCCGTGAAGCAGTGACGCTTTTCGGTTTGAAGGTTGGGGCAGCCGCTGTGACTACTTGAGACTTTAGAACTTATATCTCAAGGTGGGTGGCGCATTTACATTGTAGATGACTATGGACTCCAGTAACCACTTAACACCAGGTGGCCTGTAAGCTCGTCAACCCATATAAGCAATAAAAAAAAAAAACGAACTCAATGGGTATCAGAACATTAACGCCGTCACTTACGTTCAGACTCAGTCAAATACATAACTGCCTCGCTGTAGGAACAGGACCGTATTGTGGTAGTGTGGTTTGCCCCTAAGAGGCACTCGGGGAATGGTGCTTTATGGTCTGTAGATGTTAGGAGCAGAACGCGGTCCCAAAGATGTTTTTAGGAACCTACCCACGAAATATGACATATCCTTCTTCAAACGAGGTTTCTGGAGAGTACTTAACGGTAGGCGGCGGCTTAGCTCTGCCCCTAGCACTTTCCATGCTTCACCATCAGATGGGCCGTATGCTCGTCTGCCTGCAAGGGCAATAAAAAAAAAACAAATCCCCTTGCAATATCTCAACCGACGTCAGTGAGATTAGTGCGAGTTTTTTAACGTTCTCGATAGCGTAAAAGTTAACTCAAATTTGTATGCAGTTGGAACAGCGCCCCTAGCGGCAAACGTAAGCAAACGTTCCAACTTCATACAAAAAATTGTATGAAGTTTTGTATGAGTTAGCTTTAACGCTATCGAGAACGTTAAAAAACTCCGCCCGGGGTCAGAATTCGGTCAAGGTAGGAGGGTTCCCTCGGTCAACACTACAACCAGACTTGTGGCGCCACCCCAGGCATCCGACCGACAGGTCGTCGAGGCAGATTGTGGAACCAACCTATATATAGGGTATCCTTCGTTCCCGTGTGCTCGTAAGTAATCTTCTTATTATAATTCTTTTCTTCCAGAAATGAATCGCCACCACTACGCTTTGTTCGTCCGTAACTGCCGTTTGATCCTGCTCTTGCGCCGGGACTTCGGCGAGGGAGACCTCAACATATTCCGTCCTGCCGAGTGGAGGTGGAAGATACCCGAGGTGGGCACAATTTTAAATCCTTATCTATACTAATATATAAATCTACAGTGGTTTTTACGGATGGATGCATCCGATTGACTTGAAACTTGGTATCCATGTAGAAAATGCTTAATAACTTAATAGATAGGCTAATATTTATGTGAGTGTTGGACTCCCCCCAGTTGCGGGGGCATTAATGATGAGAATCTTTGTGGGGGTGAGAAATAATAATGTTAATTTTAAATGCACAGCGAAGCGGACGGGTACAGCTAGTTATAAGTGCGAAAATTTGTGAGGATGGATGTTTGTTATTCTTTCATTCAAAAACGACTGCACAGATTCTGATGATACTTCGCATATCAGACTAGCACATAGTACGACGGGTAGCGCGCGAGTTCTTTCAACAAATTGGTATTTTTCGTCACAACTAGCGATAGTATCAGTGGAGCGTGACTGGACTTAGAATACATTTTATTTCATCCATACACAGATAAAAAAGAATCATTTAACATGGCAAGATAGTAATATTGACATTAGTCAAAATTATATTAATATTAATTAATATAATTTTAAGCAATAGATAATTGTACGTTGATAACTTTTAGTTAAATTAAAATGATTGTCCAAATACTGTTTTAATATTATTAATAATTTGTATTTCAAGTCGCTAACTAAATCAATCATTTTAAGATCAGTACCATCTGTTAAGTTAGCTTGTTGTTTGTTTGGCCCCAAATGACGTCACGCGTAATCAAGTCGCGTTCGTTTTGTGTCAACGTACGATATTTTAGAAAGACAAGGATATGAAAAAAATTTAATGTAGAAGAAGACGATTATAAATCCCTCGCCGATCATTTCACCAGGTCTGCGACAACGAATGGCATCACTACGCTCTGAACATCCGCTTCCCCAATGTGGACTTGTTTATTGACGGCGAACCTTACCGCTCGCTCGACGGTAAAGGGCCCGAAGTTATTGACGACTGGCCCCTGCACCCCGCGCATGGAGTCAACACCACCCTCGTCGTCGGCGCTTGTTGGCAAGGTACGTAACTATTGTTGAAGTGAAACTTCTCGTGCGACTTCCAACAACGTTGCGTTAAACGTTTAACGCTACTATGGAATAGAAAGAGACAGAGTGAGAGTGAATGCGTGGCACTCGAACGCACGCGCTTAGTATACCTGTTACATCAGTAGCGTCCAATATTTTAGTGAAGTATTTAAAAAAATGTATATAATTATTTTTCTATCTATAATTTAAAACATATTTTAAATGTTGAAGATGTCGCATCTTTTATACATAGCATTCCCTATTACAAGAGCAATCTGATTTTTTTTATTCTTTATTAAAGCCATAACCTATTAGGTTAAGTCGGCTTGCAATCTGATTTAAGGATGAAAAATGAAGAAAACCACAATACTGCACATCGAAAAAGAAGTTTCACTTCGTTCACGTGCACCAAGTTGCAGGCGCACCGTTTTAATTTTTATTTTATAGAATGTAATAAATAAAACAATGGATATGGATTCTGGCAACCTCCTACCATAGATAGACTGTGAGTTCGATAAGTAGGTAGGACCTCTTGTGAGTCCGCACGGGTAGGCACCACCGCTCTGCCTATTTACTATTCTGCTTCTGCCTATAGTACTTTTTATTACTTTTTATTACACGATGTTATTCTTTCACCGTGAAAGTCAGTCGTGAACATTGGTTAACTACGTATTTCATTAGTAAAATTGGTACCCGCCTGCGGGATTCGAACACCGGTGCATCGCTCAACACGAATGCACCGGACGTCTTATCGCTTAGGCCAAGACGACTTCACTCTTTGGCTGATTGTGGTTGTGTTTTGTACAGGCACCGAGAAGGATATGAAGCACCACCTCCGCGGTTGGCTGGCGGGGCTGGGCGTACTGCGCGGCGCCGCACAGCCCTCACACGCACTCTCCTGTCTAGCTCGCTGCCGGGAGGGACTCAGTCTGGCACCGGACCTATGTAACTACTCACAAGTCTATCAATACATTGTCGCTAAATCCCGTCAAAGGCATATGAACATGTAGCTCACCTTTTTAATGCAGCAGGGTTAGTCGATCTGGCCCTGGTAAGTAGGCACTGATGCTCATTGACATCAATAACTACACATACATCTATCAATACATTGTCGTTTAAACCATTCAAAGGCATAAGAAACATCTAGCTCAGCCTTTTAATGCAGCAGGTTTAGTCGATCTGGCCCTGGTAACACTGTCACTCATCAACAACACCAGCAACGAAGCTACTGCCAATTGCTTAACCATCATCTCATGCTTAGTAAGATCATCACGGACAACTTTTTAGAGCAATCACCATGAAATACACAAATCACAGAGAGAAACCGTTGTCATTCCATAGAGCTAGATAATCCAAATGATTCGTGGAGTTGGAATTATCGACATATACACGGCTCCTGTATGGGATGTAATGAGGTGTTGATTATAAGGTTTAATTCCAAGTTGGGAGCAGTACTTTACTGCAGACCAAACTTGTGCTTTTAAAAGTTCTTGTTCTAACCTTTGCTCTGTTGAGGAAACCCAGAATTTTACGATAAGGGTGCATAGCGATCTAGCCCGCAAAAGGTTTCTACCGTATATCAATTATGTGTTCTAATACAATTCAGGCTTCTATTCTATGTATCAAAGTGTACGGCTTGTATCATGTCATGATATTCTCCTGTTAGTAATCGATGGAATAAACACGTCCTAATATCTAAGGAATTAATATGAATTAACTCTTCATCAATTACTAATTTATTTCTGCCGTGAAGCAGTAATGCGTTTCGGTTTGAAGGGTGGGGCAGCCGTTGTAACTATACTGAGACCTTAGAACTTATATCTTAAGGTGTGTGGCGCATTTACGTTGTAGATGTCTATCGGTTCCAGTAACCACTTAACACCAGGTGGGCTGTGAGCTCGTCCACACACCTAGACAATAAAAAATTAAAAATAATTACAGCAGAGAACATCTAATGAATGTTTTATTTGGTGCGGCGTTAAAACAACTCTAAATACGTAGTATGAGTTAAGATGTCACATTTTCCCTGCCTATGCACTGGTAGCCTAGCTATGCCTTGACGGGTGTCATCTCAGTCCGTCATGTGATGTCCGTTGACATGAGCACGCCTTGTGTCTTCTTCCAGATCTGAAGTCGGTGTCGGTGGAGGGCGACGGAGTGGCGGACGTGGAGACATTGCTGCGCCGTGTCGCGTATGGAGACGCGCGAGCCTTCCCCACTCCGGGCAGGAGGAATGTGCACGTGGCCACCACCATCACGTATGTAATCCGCGTTCGTGTACGGAAATTGTGTGCCAAGCTAGAATTTTTTCCTGTGTTATGGACATACAAAGATATAGGCTACAATCGGGAATAGAATCCGAACCTCTTAAGTAATTTTTTCAATTGTTCCCTTACTGTTGAAGATCAAGACTAAGTAACGCTCCTTCAACAATGGGCCTCCGTTTGACGCCATCAGCCGCTCGATGAAGCATAACACTTCGATAAAGCGGCACGACACGAGAACACTCTCATCGTGACCGCCGGTAACTACATTCCCGATCCTGCGGACAGAATGGAAAGCAGTCGACGTCGCCCAAAACACGTCATTTGGGATCCTCCCGATCCATTAACGGTGCTTTTAGATACCACAAGCACCGGTCACCGTCCTCGTCGAACCCAACGCTTGCGACGAAGGGCTCGACGAGTAAATTAACCCGTAGACACAGCCCACTGAGTTTATCGCTGGATCTTCTCAGTGGGACGCTTTTCCGATCCGGTGGATCCAGCGGACTGGATACAGCGGTAGCATGCGTTTTTATACAAGTGGGGACGAAAGATGTTACGATGCAGTGCACACACAAGCGCGGGTCGCTAGAACTACTACAATGCAGTGCACGCAGATCACGGGTCGCTTTAAAATTGCGTATCTTTTAATTAATGTGTTACAACGAAACCCTTAGCTGCGACAACGGGCGCATCATCAAGGCCCGCCCGGCGGAGTCTTACATCATGTTGTTGGCGCCGCAGACGCCCAGCATCCTCCTGAACGGCAGCGCGGACGTGGCGCGCGACTACGCACACTTCCGCGCAGGACTCACCGTGTTCCCGGACCTCGGCGTCTCCGTCCGAGCTGCTCCTGCTCATCCGCTGGCCGGTAAATTATACTAGACGACTCCTTATTGATTTTTTTTTATTGCTTAGTTAGGTGGACGAGCTCACAGCCTACTGGTGTTAAGTGGTTACTGGAGCCCATAGACATCTGCAATGTAAATGCGCCACCCACCTGAAGATATAAGTTCCAAGGTCTCAGTATAGTTACAACGGCTGCCGCACCCTTCAAACCGAAACGCATTACTGCTTCACGGCAGAAATAGGCAGCTCAAAAATTCTAATCTTTTTTATCGCTTAGATGGGTGGGCGAGCTTACGAGCCCGCCTCGTCTTAAGTTGTTACCAGAGTCCATAGACATCTACACATCTATTCTACATCTATCAAAGGTCTCAGTATAGTTACAACGGCTGCCACACCCTTCAAACCGAAACGCATTACTGCTTCACGGCAGAAATAGACGGAGTGGTGGTACCTACCTGCGCGGACTCACAGTAGGTCCTACCACCAGTAATTACGCAAATTATAATTTTGCGGGTTTGATTTTTATTACACGATGTTATTCCTTCACCGTGGAAGTCCAATCAGTTTAAAGTTTATTTTATACATAAGTTTAGGTCTTTTATTTATCGATTGAGGCACTACGAAGTCTGCCGGGTCAGCTAGTAAATAATAAAAATCTTACGTTACGGACGTTTTTTCTCCGGTTAGGATATCCCTCCGCATCGTCCCATAAGGAAATTCGTTTCAAAAATGCTATTAATGTTGTTTAGATGAGAATCAGAAGCTGGACTCGTGCGTGGTGTCGGTGTACCCGGCTCTGAACCCGGACCACGAGGCACTGTCGCTGCGCGCGGCCGCCGACCTGCCGCTGCGGTACGACATCCGCGCGGCCGTCACCCGGGACGGCGTCATCCTGACCGGCGCCGACACCGTCCACAACTACCAGAAGGTCACTGGCTCACGGTTCACCTCGTGTTGTATATACAACGTGTTATAAGCCGCGCCAATAAAGAAACGAATCGAAAATGGCGTCTATGTACCTGCACCGACAGATGGTACGGTCAGCAAATAAAAAAAAAGATAGAAAGAAAAAGTTGTTCATTGTAAAAAAAAAAAAAAATTAGAATGTACTTTACTTTACTTTGGTGCTCTAATAATAATAATAACAAATAACAACAGAATTTGAGAGAAAACAGTGCGCGTCGAGACAGTGTGCGAACTGATTTTTTTTTGCATGCAGTGCGCGTCGTGTGCGACTAAAGACAGCAATAGTTTAGAGTGAGAACGCATGATTGCCGCCGCCATTTTAGATCCGTTTCCTTATTGGCGCGGCTTATACAAAATACCCAGTAAATAAATATTAGTTTAAAAACACTAACAAATTCGCTTTTATAGAAAATCCAACTAAAAAATAGAAAATAAATATTAATAAAATTGAATTAAAAATAGTGTAAGAAAAATGATTTTATTGTAAAAAAAAACGTGGGGTGCTTTTCAGGATATTATCGAAATAACCCTTCTACTCATATCTGTTCATAAAATATTCGTTTGCAAATCTGATAATTAAAATTATATTCGACAATGATATTTACTATCTATCAAATAAATAAAACTATATGAAAAAAAAAACATGAAAATTTATAGTGGTACCATTGTCCCATACATTCCTGCCATTGTTCTTTCCTTTCAAGACCAAAAAATCTTTGTATTTAACATACCCTAATACAATTTGCAGGTGCTTCGCGAAATCGAGTACAGCAACAAGAAACCGGCCTACTACCTGAACCGCGTGTTCAAGTTGACCTGCTCAGAGCTCAACGGTCGATTCACGAGCAACGAATATGTACAAACCGTACGTGTCTAATTGTTATATAGTCTATGGAGGAACTTTTACTGGTGGTAGGACCTCTTGTGAGTCCGCGCGGTACGGACATACATTAAAAATAAACAAAGGCAAAGTTAGACAATCCAGGTGCTTTAGTAATTACTTCAGTGCGCCGCGTAGGGCACCGGTGACCGACATGGCAGTCAAAGGGTTTAAAGTAAAATAGCTAAAGAATTGATCTAAATGAATGGGTAGGTGCCACCATTCTACCTAATTCTGCCTTGGAGCAGTCATGCGTACCAACTTGAAGGATGGGATTAGCGTTATACTACACAATTTATTTATTTATTTTTATTTATTAGATTTCAGCGGATATTTAATTTAATTTACAGTTAACTGTGGTCCACCCTCACATGTCGGCCGCTAACGAGGTGGCCTCTCGGGAGCTACCCAGCGGCATCGCGGACAAGGCTGACGTCGCCAGAGAATCAGTGGTACGTGTGGTTCGTTACCCGCATAAACAATTATAGGGTGCTTTAAAAATTTGATACTTTACTAACGCCGTTGGACTTATTAGAAATAGATGTGGGGAGGATAAAATTAAAGTAACCCGCAGTCGTCCGAATTCACGAAAACTGTAAGGTAATCGAAACATCGGAATATGCTAAATTAAAACAATTGATGCAAGACTAAACTTTAGAATCGATAAAGTAGCTTTTTTAGTGGAGTGGTTTTTTGATATATTGACGTTGGACACAGTTTATGCCTCGCTTAAACCGGAAGTGATACTTATTGGATACCACAATGTCAGTGTTTCCACAATGAGGGGAAATTCCCCATTTGAGGGGAAATTAGGGTCCATAGGGAGAGAAAAAGGGGAAATTGCGAGAAATCATGGGTAAAGACCCTTTTTTTAGTTACTACACTAAGGCCAAAAGTAAAAACTACAGCAGAAAAATTTTTAAGGGAAAAAAGCCCTTGAGAAGGGGATATTTTAATTGAGGCGTGGGGAAAGGGAAATCATTAAAGGTGAAGCACTGCATACGCGTCCGCGTTTACAATTCAGTTCGATTCGCAGCCGGACCGCGGCCACGCCCACGGGCACGCCGTGGCGCCGCGCGTGTACGCCGCGCACGCACAGCGCGACGCGCACGCCGCCGACGTGCCCGCGCCGCGCCTCATCGACCTGCGCCCCGAGCAGAGCGCTAGTGAGTAACTGATACACTTATAGGATAGTAATCTGCAAAATTGTCAACCAAAAGATGTCAAATATAGATAGATAGACGTAACTTCTTGGTATCCTCCAAAAAGTCCACTGAAAAAAGATCAGTAAATGACCACCATTTTGCGGAGATTATATATTATTTCATCCCATATCATCTCATTTCATTTTATTTCATCCCAGTAGATTGATGTCTCAAATTAATCATCTTCATTTTATTTCACTCCATATTATAATTTTTCATAAAATAAGAATATAAATTCTTAAAAGGTCTTAGTTACCAGGTCAAAAAAAATGTCTAGGGAAGCCCGTTCTCAATTGGTCTCACTCTATAATGATATCGCGTACTTCAGAGTGAATGAACAATAAAATACTTAATTGCCTTTTCTTTTATATGTATAATAAGATAAGAAAATTTAAAGCCCGCTAATTTCTTTTAAAATTAATATTAAAAATTAAACAGTAAACAGTATTAATAAACTACTAATATAAAACTGAACTCTTTTTTTTTACTGAATGACAGACTTCACTCTACGACACTGAAGACCAATCTTTTTTAAAAAGTAAAAAGCTTTAAATAATAAAAGTTTTAATTTACATACGTTTTGTAACTATACTTGAGATCTTAGAACTGATATTTCAAGGTGGGTTGGTAAATGGCGCATTTACGTTGTAGATGTCTATGGGATCCAGTAACCACTTAACACCAAGTGGGCTGTGAGCTCGTCCACCCATCTAAGCAATAAAAAAATAAAAAAAACCTTTAAACAGCGCGAAACTGACGTTCTTTTATGACTGTGCAGACCACGTGGCTCTGCTGATCGGCGTGGTGGCCGTGGGAGTGGTGGTGCTGGCGGCAGGAGTGGGCGTGGCGCGCACCCGCCGCTCCCCCCGCGCGCCCGCCGCGCCCCGCGCTCGACACGTCGACTCCGAGATGGCGTGGGACGACTCCGCCCTCACCATCACCGTTAACCCCATGGAAGAGGTATTTAGCAACGACTTGTTCTTCTGAATCGTGTCACTCTTGACAGAGTGGTCTTGATCGTCATGTAGGAAGTGACAGACTTGACGCGTCTCACGATGTCCCACAATCTCTAAATCGCATCCTCTAAAAAAAAGCGCGGGGTGCTTTTGAGGATATTATCAAAATAACCCTTCCACTCATATCTGTTCATAAAATATTTATAACTACTGATACCATGCTCCCCACGCTTTTTTTATAATAAAATAATTTTTTCATACACTATTTTTAACTCAAATTTATTAAGATTTATTTTCTATTTTTTATTTGGATTTTGTATAAAAGCATATTTTGTTAGTGTTTTTAAACCATTATTTATTTCATGATAATTATATTATTTCCGTTTCATGTCTAGTTTTAATTATGGCTACGACGAACACCAAAGAATTCTTTATATATGTTGCACGTGTAATTTTCAGAGCGTCCCATCCTGCGGCACGCACGTGAACGCTGCGGACAGCTCGGACGGCGAGTCCTGCTCCGACTCGGACTCCGAGCATCACGACTCCTCCGACGAAGACGACGAAGGTATGCTGTTGTTTCCTTATCGCGACTTTGACTTTGATTGCTTGTCGGACAGTCTCACTGTTAACTCAACGTGAAGCGGTTACTGAGGCTCACAAATACTTAGTTATAATAAAAATAATAGTCATTATTAATTATAATTGTCATATTTTATACATACTTAATTAAAAAAATATATATTAACTTTTTGCATTTCTGCGTGCCATCTCTGCAACGCTTTTATAGCCGATACCACATCCCTAGAGTTATCGAGAATTTCCACACATTTCAAGTATTGTGTTTCCATCATCTGACAATAGATGGCGTTGTAATTCTCGAGCGTTCTAGATGATCTTTCGATATTCGTTCGACTATTCGGCGATAGATGGCGTTACTCTTACCGTCGTAGTAATATAGATATAAGTGTGTTTACCGGTCTCTGGTACGGATAACACAAGGGATTCATAAATTGCGGCCGGATGATTGAATTGTTTTCAATTACATATTTATATATGATTCCAGTGATGCCCAACAAACAGCACAAATACAGAAACATCAGCCAGCTGGAGTGGGACAACAGCACGATGTAACGCGCCCTTGGCTGGACGCCGCGGCCGTACTTAACGCACCCCTATAAACTAAAGTCTCCCTTCACTGGCACCCGTGTGCACCGTCCTTCTAAATTCACGACTCGTTCCGATTTACGCGCTTTTAGAGCTGGTTTACACGAGCATCTCGAACACGAGTGGTTTTTTTTTTGCCTACCTACCAGTGGCCTTCAGGGGACATTCTGGTTTTACTTTGATTTGTGGCTTCACGGAGCTCAATCTTGCGAACATCTGCCCTAGTAAAGGGCAGTGATTCGCTGAATCTACTACCTGATCGGATTCGCGAGCCACTGAGAAAATCCGGCGAGAAGCTCAGTGGGTAACTAGTGGCTAGATTATGCTCTTCTAATTCGTAGACTCATTGCCTTATTATTGACAAAACAACTCGTGAAAAATAAGGTTGCTCGTTGCTCGATAAATCTTATTCGTGTGAACCAGCCCTTAATGTAACGTTTCAATATGGCGGACTAAAAACGTTTTTATATTATTCGATACGATTTGTCGTCTCCGATATTAAGATAAAATAACTGTATAATATTTCATTGAATACATAAAATATGACGATGAACTAGATGACATAACTGAAAATTTCAATCGAGTATCTAAATGTTTAAAGTTTTACGAACATCAACTGAAGAAATTTTCCATCCATTTTTGTTGTCATAAATTATTAGAACATACGATTTTTATGTCGCCATATTAAAACGTGATAGAATTCAATCAAAGCGATTCATAGTTACGGAATTGATTTGAAATATGTATCCGTATAATTAGTGTATAAACAAAGCTTTTGCACAGACACGCGTGTACAAGACTTTGTATGTTAGGCTGTGGTATGTGCACGAATAAGATGTTTAAGCACAAATAAAATTCCTAAAAAAAAATTCTTTGTCACATAAAAAAAAACTTAAGCCATGTTTTTTTGTTTAACGTTATTCAGGCTCATAGCCTCCAAAAGCGATTTTATGGTGATGTCCTTTTCGTGCACATATCACGGATCCAACGCATTTGTTTTGTAGTTCTTTGTAAGGTTTTCAATAAAATGATCATATCAAATTATACGTAAATTTGTTTCTGTCTTCGCTTGCTTTTGTAGGAAGTTGTTCTTTACGTGTTATAGTGCTCGTTCTTTGTCCACGATATATTCTTTTTCAATACACTTAAGTAAAAAAATGTATGTATTAATGTAGCCGTTGTAATTTCGTATGGAGTCGTATATAAGATTAGTATAAGCGATCAAACACTATAAATATATATTAAATGATAATGCTTCACACATGAAAACATAGTATTTTCACATTTAGAAACATGTTGGCGTTTTAACATTATCACATTAATCTTTGTCTACTTACGTAGGTTAATACGAGAGAAAACGACGCCATTTTGAATTAAATTCGCCATTTTGAAACCCCGCATTTAAATGAGTAGTAAGTACAACACGCATTATTTTTGGTACAAAACAGCTTACTAACCTGTAGTATTAAATATGTCTGTCGACAAAAATGTCCAATCATTTGAACCTTCGAGCTTGACGACAAGATCGGCTTAAATGTATATTAGGCACAGAGTTATTTGAAAAAAAAAAAACTAAAGTTGTATGATATTATACACATATATACAGATATTGGTTTAAGAGCAGCTATTATAACTATTTATATATTTTGAATGCGTTAAGGGATTTTTACTAACAATTAGGTACTAAGCTATGTTAGTCGGTGACGCACACACGGGAAATGGCAGAAAAGACGCGTCGCATAGGCGTAAGTATAGTTAGGATCTCTTCATTCTTCTGTCATCTGTGTATCGCTTGTGGTGGACCGGAAAACCCCAATGAAGGCTTATAGAGACATGGCAACAACACTGTCAGTGCTTCGTGTAAAAAAACAAATGTACATTACACGATTTAATTATCACTTATTAGTGCTGACCTATTGGCAATGACCAGATAAATTTTGTGTATTAAAAACTTAAGGTGTCCGTGTTTATTTTTAATCCACGATAAAACTCATGTTCAACTCCATCACACCCGAAATTGCATATCAATCTTTTGGCCATGTATTAGCGTAGTGTTACCGTTTTAAGAACACGTGACTGTAAAACTCTAAAAGCAATCATTGTGAACATAATCATTAGTGTGTCTGTAGCAAAATTTACAATTTTTCTTTTAAATTTAAATATATTTTCTGTTCGTCAAACCATTTTTGTTCTGTGCAATGCGATCTGACATATCCGACAAGTGTCAACGTTCGTGAAAGAATCTTACATCGAAAATTTTATCTTAACCTTACTTTAACTTTAACTAAACCTTACTTTCTAATGTTACTAATTTCGTGACTATAATGAGTTTGTTTGCAATTATTTACCTTTCTAACGGCTAATTCCACTAACTCTACCAACAATTGACTTTTCAGATTTTGACACATGTCAAATATGTCATTCGATATTGTCGGACCATAGTGAGTTATATCTTTATGTGTAAGTACATTTGGATGTTAACGAAATATGGTGTTTTCTTTAATAAAAAAGCGAAGCCCTAGATTACTTTGAAATTATGGTTTTCTTGTTAAGTTTTTCTGACAACCGTCCATTGACCATTTCCCCTGATAGCTAAATAATCCGAGATCTGATTTATTTTGAACATAGCTCAAAATCGCAAGCACAAATAAAGGCGTTTGGTATAAACCCAGTTTTGATTAAACTTTTAGTAATGTAAGGTAGCTATTTTATCTTTTATTTCGTTTTTTTTTTCAATTTCATGATTTATTTGAAATATTATTATGGTATTATTGTATTAACGATAGAACTTCTTTGATGTATGAATTATTATATTTTAGCTAAAAATAAAGTTGGTTTAAAATGACTGTGCCTTTTATTTCTTTATCCCCTAAATTGTTGTGTAGATTAAAACACGGAATTCCTACTTTTTCTACCATTTTGACTGCGGTTATTGTAGTGGTCTGACTACTATTACTACTACTTAATCGCCACCATCGTATTCAGCTCCCTCTCGATATCAATATCTTTACAAAATGCGAGCTTAACTCTGATTACTTTAGACTGATTATCGGGAAGCATCAATACTTAGTATCTTCACATGGCAACGCCCGAAATGGAACTTGTTATCCAGTCTCCAGAAATTACGAAGAAGAGGAAGAAGCCCATCTGCGTTTTACTACATGATTGATGCGCTTTTGGGAAAATATACAGATTCCTCGGAGAGCGTATTTCCTGTCAGGTTTATGATGGTTTTAGGCTTGTACAAAGATATGTCATACTCTCAGCTAATCACAATAGAACCACGAAGGTTGCAGCGACTATATATTAGCACCAAGAATAAGTTGTCTGGACGTGAAACGCTAATCGGATCTTTGTTTAGTGGTTTACGCAAAAAAGCGACATCTACCGAAACTATTTGAAATTCGCTATAAGATAAAACACGACGGCTGAGAACTGTGATAAAAGTTTTGTCGTTGTACCGCGAGATGGCATTGCTATAGGAACAATTAACAATTAAAAGATGGTTGTCGTTTTGCCGCGTTTTTTTATTTATTTAAAAAAGAAATATAACAGATGAAATCTTTGGATTGCAAAGCTGGTTTTCAATGTACCTACAAAAGAGTGTGAAGGCTCGATAAATATGTCTATCCAGTACAGTTCATCTATGTATGTTCCTCATCTCGGTGCACTAATGGTGTGACTAGAAATGTGACGTAGATATAGGATATTTGGGATATTTATTAGGACTAGTGGTCCCGCAGTAGTCGAAATTCGACTATAATTAATTATTTATTGTTTCAACACATGTATTATGGTCCTATTGTTACACATTTCGCCAAGGCTACACTATAGACAAATACTCGTAATATTAAAGATAAACAATACTAACCTATTCTCAATTTGACTGCAGACTTTAAGCAATAACAACAGTTTGACAATAAACAATGAGTATATGTGTGTGTGTCAAATAAATGGTAGTGTGTGTAATGTTTTCTTTATTGATTTAATGTATCTTTTATGCATTATTTGAAAAAAATATTAGCATTGTGCACTTCTTCTCTATATTCTCTATAAGTGTGCAAAATTTCATACTCCTCCGACCGCGCAATTTTCGTAAAAAGGGATACAAAGTTTTTACTTCGCGTATTAATATATAGATATTTTACGATGCTGTCAGCTTAGCATCGTCAAATAAACTAATATAATTTCCGACCTTTCAGACTTTACAGTTATCGTGATAAAAAAACACGTGTGGCACCTACTCGGGGACTGCCGCGGTAAAGCTATTGCATTGCATTTTTAATCTTTATATTTAACTTATGCAATTATAATTATACAGTTTTTTACAGTAATTATACAGCGAACTGGTGGTAGGACCTCTTATGAGTCCGCACGGTTAGGTACCACCGCCCCGCCTATTTCTGTCGTGAAGCAGTAATGCGTTTCGGTTTGAAGGGTGGAGGGGCAGCCGTTGTAGCTATAACTTAGAACTTATATCGCAAGGTGGGCGGTGCATTTACGTTGTAGATGTCTATGGGTTCCAGTAACCACTTAACACCAGGTGGGCTGTGAGCTCGTCCATCCATCTAAGCAATAAAAAAGAAAAAAAGTTACGGTTTACGTGGTCGCGGACGCAGTTAGGTACCTATATTTATACCTAAGTCCTTTGCTTATTCCTACATTGTACGTACAAATAAATACAATCTGTAAGCCTTCTGCAAATTCTAGTTGTTCCGTTCGTTCCTATACAAGTTCCGAACAACAACATTTGGACTTCTAAGAGTTCGACGTGCAGCCTAAGACACGGATAGGATACAGTCCCGCTGAATTTCACACTTAGGTAACCTGATTTGTTATTTGAAACGTCGGAAATAATAAATAAATAAATAAATAATTACTAACAATCACGCCACATTAACTGGTCCCGTGATAAGTTCGTAAAGAACTTGTGTTACAGGTACCAGGTAACGGATATAAATGTAAGATTTTTATTATACACATACCTACATATATTTAATATACATCCATAACCCTGGAAAATACATTTATATTCATCATACAAATATCTTCCCTTGGCGGGATTCGAACCCGCGACCTCCTTGTGTGGTGACCATGTCACTTACCACTACACCAGACGGCCGTTAGACATAATGTAATGACAATGAAAACAACGCTGAATTAAACCGTAAAAGTGGTTTTAATTACATACATACTGTAGTATAAAATTATCGATACATAAATCTGTCCAAAATTACCCTAAGATTGCAAGTTTGCAAAAAAATCTTTGATGCTTTTCATGATATGATGAATTACCTATTATTTCAATTGTAGGTATTTGAGACTAGCTGTGCCCGCAACTTGCAGAGATTAGTCTGAACAAACAAACATATGATGCGATAGCAATGCACCGGTTTCGAATCCCGCAGGCGGGTACAAATTTTTCTAATGAAATACGTACTTAACAAATGTTCACGATCGACTTCCACGGTGAAGAAATAACATCGTGTAGTAAAAAACTAACTATACTGAGATCTTAGAGCTCATATCTCAAGGTGGGCTTACATAGTCACTTAACACCAGGCGGGCTGTGAGCTCGTCCACCAATGTAGGCAATAAACAACAACAAAAAAATCAAACCCTCAAAATAATAATTTGTGTAATTACTGGTGGTAGGACCTATTGTGAGCTCGCACGGGTAGGTACCACCACCCTTTGCTGTGAAGTAGTAATACCTACGCTTCTGTTGGAAGGGAGGGGCAGCCGTGGTACTGTAAAAATTGAGATTTTAGAACTATTATCTCAAGGTAAGTGGTGGTATTTACGTTCCGTTATATTACGTTCTGCTCTGGTAACCACTTGATCAGGAGGGTCGTGAGCTCGTCCAGCCATCTAAGCAATAAATAAATAAATAAATAAATGTAAAACGTATAGACAGACAAAAAATTTAAAAAAATTGATATTTTGGTATAGGTATATACCGTATATAGTACATTCTTATGCATGTACTAAAAAGCAGTTATTTTATTATTACAAACACACTTAAATTTTATTTATTTGTACAGATGTATTCAAAATGCTCTACATTACCCTAGAGCTATGGTGTTTTTCTGTCAAGTTTCTAACCAACATTGGAATAAGGTTTTAATTTCATTTGTTTTCTCTACACTAAAACTAATCTACGGAACTGCGCAAACCTTGTAAAACGTTTGCCAAACACGCTGTATAATGCATGCAACGAGACCCAACTAATGAGTGTGAGCGGGACGCAAGCACACAAAACCCGCAAGCACGAGAGAGAAAACAAATGGTAGAAGCTTAAACGCGCCGCCAAGAAAAGGAGGGGCCTGCTGCTGTTGGTGCAAACGGTGAATTATTGAAGACCGCCCTTTGGGCTGCGAGTGGCGGGGCCGGGGCATGCGAGGGGCGCGCGGGGGTGTTTGCCGCACGCCTTTCCGACGTCACACGAATTTTGAATTTGGAACGGCTGAACGGTTCGGCGGCCATTTTTGTCCGATTTTCAGTGAGTGTCGCGATGGCCAGTGACCACGTTGCTCAGTTATTGTTCGGACTTTAAAAATGTGAAAAGTGCTTAATTAGAGAATTTCAAAGCAGGTTGGTTATTTTTTTAAACGCTCATTTTGAGCATTACCTTTTTCTTTGTGATCTTTTTGGAGAAAATGACAACAATAGACATACCTACTGATAAGTTAGTTTGGAAATTACGATTTTTTTTTAAATAATACTGTTATTTAATACATTACAGTATCCATTTATCTACAATAATTATTTTCTACACTTATAAGTATTCAGCTTTTTACTTTGAATTATTTAACGCCATTTTCGGATAATCGTATACTGGATTTTGTGGTTCAATTATTTTCACACAAATAGGAATGACAATAATAGCTAGAGTGTTCTAGTAAACAAAAGAAAAATTTGTGTTTGGTTCTAAACAGGATTATTACAATATGTGGCCTTCTTGCTTTAAGCTATCTGTTCCAGAAAAAATAGGTTGAGAGCAAAGGATCATGGTATTTGAAACACAAAAGACTACAAGTTAATTTGAGGTGTGATACGTTTTATAATCTGATCGATTCCTCAACCTTGTGTCTCAAAGAGGGTTTAGACATACGTGCTATGAAATGAAATGAAATGAAATGCGTTTATTTCAGGCAACTTAATCCCATAAAATGTCACATACAATTACATAACATCTAAATCAAAATACAATAAAATTAAAATTACAATTTATCAGAATGACTAAAAAGAAAAACAAATAAAAATGAAACCAAATCAAAATTATTAAAATTAAAATTATGATGTCTACGGGCACCGGAAGGCAACGGAAGGTAGATCATGAGCTCGTCCACGAATTCAATGTAAAACTATAAAGTTTGCATCTGGAACGTCGGAAATAATATAATTAGAATAAAAAAACGCTAGATTAAATCTCAAAAGTAGGTATATAGTTCCAATTATATTCTACAACTCGTAAAGATCGAAGCAAATACTCAATTGATTTATGTAAAATTTAATTTACAAAGGTTCTTAAAATAAGAACAATGGAAATACTGTTCGTAATTATAGACGTTCTAGAATTATCTAGACCCACTCGTTGGTTTTTTTTTTATTTGATAGCATCTATTAACTCAAGTTCAACTAACCGAAATATGTTTTATCATATTCAAATTGTTGCCTAATCAGTCCCATTCTTTTTACGTTATATTTAACTCGTTTTATACATGAAACTTAAAAAAAAAACAATCTCTGGTCATTAGATAGTGGTCGTCGGTAATCGAAATTCGACTATAATAATTTAAATTATAAGTTTGAACATTATTAAGGGTCTATTGTCAAAGACTA